AGCTCCACATGAGCTATGCCATGAGCTCTGCTGTGAAAAACACTCCAGATGTCCAGAAGTCTTAATATAGAGGTGGTGATTGATTATAATACTATATACTATTATATTTAATATTAGATGTTAGCTATCTATACATTTACACACATATATAAAGGCATCAAAACAAGTTTACTACCTCTGAGCAGGTGCAGAGGTTAAATTTCAATTCCACAGCAGACAACCTAAAGGATGATCCAGGGTCCTGTGACTTTAATGACATCTAAAAGTGATTTCATCATAGGACAGTGATAATGTGTGTATGTGTGTGTGTGTATATATATATATATATATACACACACATATATACACACACACATACACGCACACATAAATACATGTAATATATATGTCCACTTGAAAAAAAAAATTTTAAATCTAATAGTGAAGTAAATCTGCAGTTGGATTACAGTATTGGATTGACTAGATTATGGTAGCCATGCACATATGAAAATGAACATAACACCAGGCTAGACTGAGAACAGAAGTAAACAAAGGAAACTGCCCCATCACATGAGGAATCACATGAATGAATCCAAACTCTTGTTTCTGCAAGCCACATGTGGCATAAAACATACTGCCTTCTTCCACTTTCTCTTCCAAAGGTTTGTTTGGTCTCGAATTGCTTCGGATTACATTGAGGCAATTGACTCTCATGAAACATTTTGTTCTGTATACTCTTTGAGAAAGAGAACATAGGCAGAATTCACAACTTGAAGACTAACACTGACATCTAGATTTAGCTTTGAGAAAAAAAAAAAATCAAAGAAGCAAATGATTGCAGAACAAGCATGTATTTAGACCCTCTTCCAAATAATTTCACCTATGAACACCTGTTTATATTTATGTCAAGAAATACTTATTTTGGAATATGCTAGCAATATTATAGAATGTAAACCATTCATTTCACAAATTCAAAGCCCTGAGAGGTTTCAGATATATCAGGCAAGTAGTTTTTAATCATCATAAATCATACATCTGGATAAACCCTGGAACACTTTAATGTGAACACTTGAGCAGTACACTCCTGACAAAGCTTTAGTCCACTGCAGACCAAAAAATCTTGCTAAATGAACACCACACTTACAATTCCGTTTGTGTTTAGTGAACAGAATGCTGTTGAAACAAAGACTGAGTAATTCAGGAAATTGACTGATATAAACAAGGATCCTAATAGCAAAGAAAGGAAATACCTACAAAGGACCCTGTCCCATTGCATTTCCCAGACTATTGAACTATCTGGCTAAAACACTAGTTGCTCACTCTCTTGAAACTGTTGCAAGAACTAAATCCTACCTTATCTTTTTTTTAAAAAAACTTTTCCTTTCAAACATAAATTTATCCATATTGCAGAACTATTTTCCGCACTGATTGTGGTGTTAGTTTCACCCACCTCATTTCAAAGGAGATCCAGAACCAAAGCACTGTGAGCCCAGTACACGAAGAGCCCAAACAGATTTGCTACCCAATAAACCAGAATTGCTTGTGAAATACCTCCCTCTGCAATATGGTTCAGAAAACTACCAAGTACAAAATTAAGCAAGTCACTCACTCGTCTGTATCATCAGCTGATGAAAATACCAAACTTCGAAAAGGCTCTATAAAA